CTTCCAAAATCCAATAAAAAGTGTTCCAAAGATAAAAAGTCTTTCAATTGATCATTTCGACATCGAGATATATGGATATAAAATAAAACAAAAATTTTAGATCATAAAAATAGTGCATCTTTTAAAAAGTTATCTTGAACTATCTATTTTCAACATTTTTAAGTATTTATAAATCTGCTTGGTCTGCACTATTTTTGGAATCTAAAATTTCATAAATAGGGTTGCACATGGATTTTCAAGGCATCATTAGATTTCTGACATAAGAACTATATCTTCTGGCAAAATTTAAGTGTCCCTTACTTGTATAGTATAAAGTGAACACCTTATGCAAACCTCACCTTAATCCTAAACTGAAAATGGAAAATGATAGGAATCCCTCACCTTTCCCTCCACCAAAAACAAAAAACAAGCAAAGGAAGAGGTTGGAAAGAGCAAAGTAAAATTATGAGAAATAAGACCACACAACAATACGTTTCATCATTAGACCACTTAGTAAACATGGACTGGGACAATTGTAACTGCAGTTCACAACACTAAATATACTGAACTTTAATGGAAGAGTATCGACTTTTCCTCAGTTGGAACTGAGTTTCTAGCTGTAACCAAGGACCGCAAAACTATGGACAAACCAAAAAAGAATGGGATCTATACATTTTGAACATTTTCTATCTACAAACGCTAGATCTTGCTTCTGAAAAACATAAAACGAAAGGCATATTTGACAAGTCCTTCTATGGGTGAGACTAACTCATATGGAGTGAAGATAAAACCCCAAAAGGTAAATGCAATTACTCTGATACCTTGCGGACTGCGTCCAAGCACCAGCAATAGTAATCTGTTCTCGAAATATCAAGCAATTCATCAGATGTCATGCTTTCCAACTCCTTCTGAGTAAAACCTAAAAAAGGATTGTATGTTGTGCACTCCTCGGCTTTGTGAGGTTGAGAGCGCATTCTTTTATAAAGTCTCATCACAGCCACACAGTCCTCATATGGGTCATGCACACCAGATTGAATCTCGTAACTGTAAACACAATCCAATCCTTAAATACTCTCTCTCTCTCTCTCTCTCTCTCTCTCCTCCACCACACACACACACACACACACACACAATATACACTACTACTAACGTAACGTAACGTACGTAGTATATTAGTACGTAGTAGTAAGGAAGGTAAGTAAG